TGGTGTTAAACGAAGGTCATCTGCGCATAATATTAACGATGTTAATATAAGCTTACAGTGCGCTCAGCAATCTCAGGGGATTGGTTGGCGGTGGGGGGCATTATTGGAGATGTGGAGGAATAAAGATTCACCCTCCCCTAACTGGCAATCCGACGACCTGTCATAATTCAATAATATAATCAATGGATTTCTTAACCATTACCGTACGGCAAGTGCTCGCTTAACGCGTGCCGGTGTTTAGACTACAACGCGTTTTCTCTCCAACGCGGTTCTTCCACGAGGGAACACTTTCACACAGCGCGTATCGTGCACTGTTACAACGTGCACTGTTACAACGTGCACTGTTACAACGTGCACTGTTACAACGTGCACTGTTACAACGTGCACTGTTACAACGTGCACTGTTACAACGTGCACTGTTACAACGTGCACTGTTACAACGTGCACTGTTACAACGTGCACTGTTACAACGTGCACTGTTACAACGTGCACTGTTACAACGTGCACTGTTACAACGTGCACTGTTACAACGTGCACTGTTACAACGTGCACTGTTACAACGTGCACTGTTACAACGTGCACTGTTACAACGTGCACTGTTACAACGTGCACTGTTACAACGTGCACTGTTACAACGTGCACTGTTACAACGTGCACTGTTACAACGTGCACTGTTATTACGCGTATCGTGCACCATTGCAATGCGGAATTCGCACCATTTATAACTCGGACGAACTACTTTCCCGAGCTTGCGTGGCTAAGCGGTACGATACGGGACGCGGAATGATGCAGTACGCAGTGGCGTCGTCTCATCTCAGTTCTTTGTCGCGCCACGGGGTGACTTTTCAGGAACGCATCTACCGCGTTAAATAAGGAATTACTGTCCAGTGCAGTGAGTGTAGCGGCCACTAGTGGCTGCGGCGGTCACATGAATCCACCGCATGCACCGTACCGTAAGTGAATTGGTAAACATCGATCCTTAAACACGCGTGGTTCGACAGATGTATTTGTGAGCTGAAGCAGCAAATGTTCACCGATGTAACGTACGCGTCGTTACACCACTAACCGGATGCCAACAAATTGTCACGCGATGATGTTTGCATGGAAAACATAAAAAAACGCCGATATTAAAATAAAATAATTATTCTGGAAAAATCCATTGTGGGAAAGAAAGAAAAAAACAGCCTTGAGATTTGCCTTGAAAATGGCAACACACCTCCCCCGCACAGAGTGATGGGCAACGAGCTGCAGATTTCGAAATGTATTTTTTTTTACATCTCGAGATGCCGATGGCACCACCGGAATTAAATTTCGAGGGTCGGGGAGAGTGGGCGGGAATTCAACGCTCGTGGTGGACTTCTTGATGTTGCATATTTTGGTGGTTACCAAACAGTCGGTTACCTGGTGGTAAGGATTAGGCGGGGGGTGGGGGCGGCAGGGGGGGGAGGGGGCATCTTGCACTTCTGATTGATCTTCATGGGGCGGACGAGGAGGTGTTGGCACCGCTGGAGAGATGGAAGGAGGAGGAAGATTCTAGCAGCGCCGGGAGCGCGAGAGTTCATTCGAAGCGGTGTTACACATTGTGGAACATTCGACCCAAACGATGGACTGCGTAGTAAACCACCATAGTCTGCCCCTTCTTCAGCTGAGCAGGAATATCAAAACGACACAAACTCTTTCTCGAAGCCCTCTCGTGACACTCAGCTCCTGAGCGTGATGCCATATGCGACAAAAGATTCGTATTAAATAACATTCATAAATTACAAGCATTTTTTTTCAGTCCACTGTTGGATGAAGGTCTTTCTTATGCGATATTCGTGGGGGGGGGGGGGGGGGGGGGGGAGGTTGGTTGTGAAGGCCAAGGGTTTTTCCAGGACCGGCCCAGATATCTCACATGCCGCTGATGCTGACCACGGCTGGGAATCAAACTCAAGTCACTCGGTTTGTGGCACATTGCGCGAACCTTCCATGACTCCGCTCCGCCAAATGACCACCGCTTTGCGATCGGTAGATATGTACAATTTATAATCGTGGCACAGTCTCAGCAGGTTTGTGTCAGCGTTTGTTTGTACGACCACAGAGTGACATACCACAACAGTCTTGTTTTAAAAGTCCGTGACAATGAATGAACGAAGAAATGTAATCTGTGTTCCTTGCCAGGAGGGTAATTAGTTGGCTGTTGGTTGGGAAAGAGTGTGTGTATATTTTTTGTGCAAGGCAGACTTTGTCAAAAGTTTGAAGGAGGAAAAAAATAACAGTGATCAGATGTGAAAAGGACAATGACGCAGCTTTGGAATACAGTGGAACGTTCCTCACTGGCTATGACACTCGCTGGCTCTGCTGCCACACAACCAAGGTAGCAGCGTCCTGCCACGTGCTCATATTTCTATTTGTATACTTTCAGCATCATCATCAGCCACTGCTGAATGAAGGCATCCCATGCCATCACAAACTAAACTGAACTAAAACTTTTTTTAATTTTACCAAGTAAGACCCACTGAGCTACATATCTCTTTTTCAGGAGCGACCTGGCCACAAGTGATAGCTCAGCAAAGTGGCTTATCACGTGGACATTTATAGCAGCCAAATACTCCAAATGCGTGTTTCTAAAATGTGGAAGGAACAACACCGGAGGACCCGGAGAAAAATCCGCACGGACCACAGGGAGAGCATGAAAATATACAGGTGCCGTCAGGGTTGGGTTTGAACCCACGACCTCCTGTGTACCAGGCGAGGTAGTTAACGTGTCACCATCCTCCAATAGGTCCTGCAACATAACAGTCCGTGCAGCACTTGCATGCAAGCTGATTTCATAGCTCCAATCTCCGAGATGGATGGATGCATTATCTGGTCTGTTCTGTCCTTTGGCTGCCGATCCGATCCATTGGTCGTCTCGACCACCCCGCCGGTCATCATCTCTTCCATCAACATGTCCTGCCAAAGCACCGCTTTTTCTTACAAAAACAAATCGTATTTGTAAACGCATTGTGAATCATGTTGAGATAGTGCCACTTATTGTCGAGGTATCTGTTGCCTCTTAGATGCTGCATGCGTCTGTCAAATGTGTTTTCTGTTTGTGTATACGTGTCTCGTCGCTTTCATGCAGTGTGTGTATACAGTATATATACCTTGGAGGGGGGGTGGGTGTATGTCATGTCGCTGTATTTTTTTTATTCAGCTGTGTACATTCCTGAGCAGCAGTGAAGTGGATGATGAATGCATTTATAACTCGAACCATAACTCACGCTCTTTCATCAGTCCAGCTCGACGCTGATGCCGGCGCATTAGTCCCTGCTAACAGTCAAACAGCCCCATTTAATAACGGCTAATCACAAAGATCACGCGCTGACCTGTAAAACATACGTTACGTACAATCACGAACACACACACACACAAAAACGGTTAATTGTTGTAGTTTTATGAAACCCTTTTTGCTTTGAGCAGTAAAATATTGGGCAATTTTCAAGTACTGCTTCAAGGATTTATGTATTGCTTTTCTATTCCATTAAACAAAGAGTTGCCTCCCCGACCACCTGCTTGCATTTATTGAGAGTAATTTCGTCATAAACATGCCCGTGCACTATTGGGGATGGCCAATTCTGCTGGGTGCTGCCCATGACTAAGCAATTGGACAAGGCATGAATAAAGATTTCCCGATATATATTAAAGACAAAATCTTCATTTTACGCGAAATTTGCTATTTGGACGCGTTCGGCAACAACAACAACAAAAAAACGAGTGTCCTATCATCGATTGCATAACATCGCCACGATTTCCGATGCCACGCACATTGTCTCCCTTCAGGGTCTCTTGGGCCTTTCGTGACTCGGGAGAGCAAGTTGCGATGCTGCCCCTTTTTTTTTTTGCGCTCGAAGAGCGGCACGGGCCACCCACGGTCAAATTCTTTCAGTTCCGCAAAGGAATCCTCCTCACAGCGGTCACAAAAAAAAACTGCCAGCCCCCCCCCTCCCCCACCACTCTCCCTTGTTAACCGGTTTGTTGCAGAGTCCCCATGCTTAGCCGCGCCGTGTTATTTCATCCCGGCGCTAAGCAATCTACGTGTTTTAACGTATCGCGCCTTTTTTTAGTCCTTTTTTTGTTTGAAAATTTAAATAAATAAAAACCCCAATCTGAATTTCTCAATTTCGCGGAACCGTCGATTTGCAATTGTTAAAAGGTGCGACTAATAAAAAAAAATGTGGGCTCGCACGCCGCCAATTCCGCAGCTATGAATCCCATTACGTCATGTCTGGGACTCGGCTTTGTTGTGACGGTAATCTTTGCAAGCGGACCGGCCCTGCAGACGAACGGTTTTAATTTCGCCGATCAAAGCCGCCCCCAGGCGCGCGCGTCCGATAATCGCACCGCTTTTATTATTTTTGGAGCGTCTGTAAACGGAGACAACATCGGGACTGCTGTCCTCGGTGCGGTGGGTAAACAGTACAGACGGCCGAATAAACGCGAATGATTGATTTTGTACCGCGTAAACAAAGGCTTTTTTTTCCTTTTGTTACGCAATATGTAGGCTACGTAAGATTACTTAAAACGGACCGTGCTCGAATTTTGTACGGGATACGCAGTGTTGCATACATTTGTGGTCATATGCACACAATTCCATCCGTGTATTATTGCATCGATATATCATTTCAAAATGGTATAAATACGTACACCGACATGAGGAGCCCCCAGCCACGTTACATTTCGTGTTACGATTCATTGTGAGAGGCAAGACAAACGCAAGGGTACGTATAAATGAATGACCTTACATTTGCCCAGATGTCACGCAGAAAAATACCTGCGGTGTGAGTGCAACAATGATGTCTCTACCCTCTTCCCCCCCGCAACCCTTCCTTCATTCACATCAACCCCTCCGCTCGCCACCACCACCTCGTCCCTCTCCACTCCATCCCACACCTCGTCCAAACGCCCCTGTTGTCATCTCCCATTGTCATCACTTTCCCCCCCACCCCACCACCCACCGACCCGCTCTGAAATTCCAGACGATGGCTGCACCAACTCTTTCACGCCGAATCAGGTGGCACGCATGCACTGCTACCTGGACCTGGTGTACGAGGGCTGGCGGCTGGACCGCGCCCCCCTCCCCGTGCCGATGCCGCCGACCCCCGCCGCCCACGACGAGGGCTCGCTCACCCTGCAGTGGATGCCACCCATCAACGGCCACGTCTTCCAGAGGTGTTCCTGCACGCTCACAGTCGCGCGCCGTGCCCGGCGGAGGGGGCCTGCGACCCCCCATATCCCCCCCCCCCCCCCCCCCGCCGCCGTGCCCTCCTACCTCCGCGGCCCCCCTCCCCCCCCCGCCAGCCCCGGCTCTCTCCTTCCCCTTTCCATTCATAAGCCCGCGCTAGAGATGGCAGAAGTAGATGCAGACAAGAGATGGCTCGGATGCAGCGAGACGGGAGAGATGTGCATGGACACAAAAGGTAGACGAGGTGTAATGAGATGGGACGGGAGGGGAAGACACCGAGGAGATGGGGGCAGCGGAATGAGAGAGATGTAGACGAGATAGAGAGGGAGAGATGTGGTGAGATGAGAGAAATGTGGACCAAGAGGCATCGGTGTAATGGAATGAGAGCAGAGAGATGAGTTGCATCTGAATTCGACCCAATACATTTGGTGCCTCCCCGCTTCTTTATTCTTGTCATGAATCCCAGAGAGCCCTTGAGCTGCTTGGTGCCCTATGCCTTTGCCCGCTTTGCTCATGCCTAGCGGCGACACAACCGACTGCCCATCCTCGCCACGGAACGCCACATTCACAAAGCGTAAACGCACAACGCCGCCACCGCCGACAGATGCAGTGGTTCTGTTTCGGTTGGGGCTAGCGCGGGGAGTTGGGGGGAGAAGATGGGGGGGCAGGGGGAGGTGGGAGGGTGGGGAGGGGGGCAAGCAGGGAGGGGATGGCTGGACGATGCCCCTCGCCATCAGGTGACTTCCATAAACGGCCGTGGTTCAATGGTTCAACCGGGAAGGCAGGGGGGTGGGTGCTTCTGTGGTGCCAGAGGACTGCTGATTTGTGGCCGGATAATGGGAGTCGGGGAATAAAAGCAGTGACAGCTTTAAATCCCACTTGTGGATGCGTTGCTTCACTGCGGGGGGGGGGAGGGGGGGGGGTCGCGCGTGTGCGTGGTGGCAAGTGCCTCTTGCCACTTTGCAGGGTATTCCAAACTTTTTAATGAAAATTTGTGTGATTTATGTGGCATCAAGTTCGGTTTTGCTCCCTCGCTGGATTGAACGCAGTCGTGCACACGCGCGCGCGCGCACACACACTGACACACACACACGCACACACACTGACACACACACACACGCTGACACACACGCACACGCGCTGACACGCACGCACGCGCGCTCGCGTTCGCTTTCTCTCGCACACGTGGAGACTTCCTGATGCAATTGTAAGCGCGCAAGCAAATCCACACACACACACACACTGCTGTAGCATTATTCATGCAGTGTTGGAGGAGCGTTCTCCCGGTGGGTTTGAGTGCTGTGCTATGAATCCGGCGACCCGAGTTCGATTCCTGGCCACAACGAATATCAGTGGGGTGAGTAGTATCTGGATCCACCACCCCCCCCCCCACCACCTCCCTCCAACTTCACCAATCCGATTGCCAAACGAATACACTCGTTGCTCACAAAGTGCTTGCCACAAACGAACCACAATAGCTTGCTTCATCTCGTCAGGGAGCATCAACCATCACGCGAACTCCCGTCATCCTCGCAGGGGTAGCTTCTGGCTAAACATCGAACAAAGACTTGTCACCGCATCGCACGCATTCAGATGCGCTTCTGCGGCCGTCTGGAATGCTCTTCCTTCCGATATTAGGAAGCCCCTGGAGCTATGCACTTATACATGTAGATTGAAGACACATTTTTTTACAACTGATTTTAGTGTTGAGTTTGTTGTCCTTCCCCCGCACCTCCAAAATAGCGCGGTTGGCAACGTACGGTGCGAAAGAGGTTAAACGTAAACACGTACGTAGATGCAATTTGCACGAGCCAGAGAAAGTTTGTTTCAAAGATCTCCCCGTGGCTGATCGAATGTGGGGGCGTCCTTCATCAAGCAGTGGACCGACATGCATTAAGAAATTACGATTTCGTTTTATTACAGCAGTGTGTAAGCCACTGATGTAGTCGTACTTTTATTTACTACGATAGTTTCATTTAGCAGTGGTACCACTGGAGACATTTCAGGTCTGCTGAAAGAAACAAACCGATGTGAGCTTGAACTCATGGCGAATCCAAGGGTTGGGAAATGGATGCAATCGTACATCCCCTCCCCCCCCCACCTGCCGCTTGAGGATCAGAACATTTGTGATTTATTGATATTAATTAGAAAAAAAATACGTCGAATGATTGAATCATTTTTAATGTAGGGCCCGATAAAAAATAAAAAATCTGTAAATTTTGGGACCACTCCCCCCCGCACCTCCACCACCCCCTCCCCACCAGCCCCTCCCACACATCCCCTTTGAAAAGTTTCTAGCTCCTGCTGCTTTGCTTTGAAGCAACGCTTCCGTACCTGAAAGCTAATGCCAGTGCGCTCACGTTCGTGGAACTTCTTTCGCTCCGTATGCAGCCAACCGTGCTCCTCGGAGGCACGGGGCAGCCGTGCGATTCGAAGGAGTTCTTGGATTGCGACCCCCCCCCCCCCCACACCCCCCCCCACCCCCACCCTCCGTTCATGAAAACAAAACAAAAAATTTGGCGTTCAGCGGGAACTGGCGTTGGACGGCGTCAAAATGCAACGGAGATTACGGTGCGGTGTGCCTCCCTCCCGGCCGCTCGCGCGGGGCGCCGCTCTCTATCCTCGGCCTCGGCGGCCGCTCTCTACTCGAGTCAAGTGGTCACGCAATCGAGCTGTGGGGGGCTTCGTTGCCCCATTGTTTCGCGAGCAATCCCCGCAGCGGTCGCCGCCCGCGTTCCGTTCCGTGAGAAGTGGCGTTTTTTTCTTGCGTGCGTGTGCATGTGTGCGTGCGTGTGTGCGTGCGTGTGCGTGTGCGCGTGTGTGTGTGTGTGTGTGCGTGCGCGCGGAATGGGGTGCGAGAGAGAGAGAGGCGCCGAGCTCTCCATTATGAAAGCCCACTTAACCGCCGGGGAACATTGTCGTCGGCGTGCCGCGGAGCTGAGTGAGGCGAGCGCCCGCGGCGCCGTTTAGGTCCACGCCGGCGCGTTGCAGACGGAACGTCTAAGCAGTGTTTTTCGACCGTTGATCCTTTCCTAGAGAAGTGGGATCTGCGTGCGACCTGTGCGGAGAAGATGGGCGGCTCACGCAGTTCGCGCACTCCGCCTCGTCACCCCGCGCCTGCGACCCCTCGGGACACTGGAGCCCGAAGGAAGCGGAGGGTAGGAGATGCACATACGAGCACACACGCGCGCACGCGTGTGTGTGCACACACAGGCACACACGCGTGTGTGCACACACAGGCACACACCAGCGCGGATGCAAGAACACGCACGTTCGCGTGCCATTCGGCTCATTCCCCCCACCCCCCGTCACAATCACCAGACACGTCTTTGCAGGGGTGTTCTTCCACGCTCATCTTTCGCACGGTTTGTCCAGTGGTGGTGCTGCCCTTTTGGCGGGGGGAGGGGGGACAGGGAGGCGGGGGGGGGCGCTATAATTTTTTGGGGGGGGGGGTGCCCCTCCTTCAATTTGTGAACTCCTAGTGAGATGGCAGACGGTATAAATGCAAGCGACGGAGATTTGGCGAGAAGGGGGAAACGTGAACGGAAGTAGAGACGTAGTGAGATTAGAGCCACCGCGGTGGGGAGATGTTAACTCCCTCGCCTGGTATTCAGGAGGCCGTGGGTTCAATCCCGACCCTGACACCTGTATATTTAGAGTTTTCATGTTTTCCCCCACGGTTGCGTGGTTTTTACTCCGGGTCCACCGGTTTTTCCCCTCCACATTTAGACGCAAACGTGCGTTTCGAACATCTGGCTGCTGTAAATTTCCACGTGATAAGCTACTGAGTAGAGCCCATCATTTGTAGCCAGGTCGCTTCTGAAACAGAGTTGTAAATCTCGGTGGGCCTTACCGTGGTAAAATAAAAATAGTAGTTAAAATAAAATCGCTTAAATAGAGAACAGAAGACGGCAGATGAGACGGCGATGTGGTGATAAGAAAGCGATCTCAAACAAGAGATAGAGGCATCGTGAGAGGAGGGACGAGACATGCAGACAAGATAGACATGAGATGAGAGAGATCACTTGGTGTAATTATTATTTTATATTAGCCTTGCCCATGAAACTCAATGCACCCCCAATTGTGTTTTGTACTTATGAATCCGGGGCCCCTTGCGCCACTTGGGGACCTACGCTTTCGCTTGGTTTGCTTCGGCTTCGCGCCGCCGCTGCACAGCTGCCTGCCCGCCCGCCAGTCCGCTCTCTCTCTCTCGCTGTCGTTTGCTTGCACGCACATTTTGCACAGGCGACAACAACAATAATAACAACAACCGCCATTCGCCACTAAGTGGCGGTGACGTCACCACGACGCTTGCGCCAGGCTAGGTGCACGTTCAGGCCACGTGAAGTGTCGAACGCCCGCTGGCATGAGGTCACGTGGCAGACCCAGCAGGTGCCGCACGGGTCGACTGACTGAGACGACTGGCTGATGCACCACCTGTGCCCCCTACTGTGCCAACTTGCTGTGCTTTAGCCATCCGGCACTCCGCTCATTGTTGTGAGGGCCGCTCCTTCGCCCTCCGTTGTTGTTGGAGGGCGACGACCTCCAACTGCCCAGCAGCGTTCTTCACGAGCCTCCTCCACAGAGGCCGATCTTGACACCGCTGGTAGCAGTCAACCGCAAGTCCACTCAGCTCCACATCCTCCTGTACCACATCACTCCATCTCTTCTCTAGCCCGTGCCACGCCCATTTAACCCCCTCTATCCGGCCGAACAAAAGTTGTTTTGGCATGCGGTGGCTGGGCACGCGGGTTACATGACCCAGCCAACACAGCTTTGCCTGCCGGAGGAGCTCACCGATGGGACTTTGTCCAGATCTTTCAAGGATTTGTGAGCTCCTCACACAATCCAGCCTGGTTAAACCCAGGATGGATCTTAGGCAGGCCAGCCTAAATGTTTCTAACCGGCGAAGATGTTCCATTAGGGGGGGTCCACGTTTTACAAGCATAGAGAAGGGAGGGAATGACCGTGGCCGAGACGACCTGAAGCTTTGTGCATAGTGACAGACCAGGTAGCTTCCACACAGCGTTACGAAACCGATGAAAAGATAATGCTGCTCGACTGATTCAGAGTGAGACCTTTGCTGTCAAACCAGAGCCGGTCATGAGCACACTGCACACATGGGAAACTTTCCACTCTCTCCACAACTGCCCCATCACCAATTGGGAGTTGTGGGAGTGGAGTGTCCGATAGTATAAAATACCCAGGCAGGTGCTTAGTTTTGGTGGAGCTGATGGTAAGGTCCCACCTCTTAGTAGCAAGCTCCAGGTTCAGCAGCAGCGCCTCCAACTCCTCCTCTGAGTGAGCACCAATTACCAGATCATCGGCATACATAACGTGGTTGACCAATAGGGAGCCATCCTTTGACCGCACCCGGGCATTGATCAGCCTTCCATTGTATCTGTACCAGATGGAAATTCCTCTGGTACAGCCATAGAAGGCTTCATAAACTACGTGGTCGAAAAAGATGTTAACTAATGTGGGAGCCAGAGGACATCCCTGTCGCACCCCAAGATCAACAGGGAATGGCTCCGACTCCCGGCCACATAGTTTTACCAGGGCCCGCTCACCATCATGAAGGTCCTTAATGATCGTGAGCAGAGGGTCAGCGACTCCGAAAGCATAAAGAATAACCCAGAGCCCACGCCTACTGATAGTATCATAGGCCTTGACCAGGTCAGTAAGCAGAGATGTAGGTTTTGTTGGAATTCCCTACACCTCTGCTGTAGCAGACGGACAGAAAATATGGCATCTGTGCAGGACCGCCCTTTCCTGAAACCGCATTGGGGCTCCGCAAGCCTCTTCTCAGCGTGCCTGGCAAGGCGATGTTAAATAATCCTTGCCAGGACCTTTCCCGGCACACTGAGGAGTGAGATGCCCCTGTAGTTGTTACAGTCTGTGCGGTCCCCCTTCTTAAAGAGGGGGACCACAAAGGCATCCTTCCAATCCTGGTAAACCTGTCCAGTGGTCCAGACTGTTATTATGATGTCATGTAGGGCAGTCTGTGCACAAACGCCACCCTCCCTCAGCATTTCGCTTGGGAGATCATCTCTGCCCGGTGCCTTTCCTGGTCTCAGACTCTGGATCGCCTTCAGTACTTCCTCAACAGATGGCACCTCAGCCAGTCACTCACAGGGAGTGATTTCTTCTTCCAATATTTGAGGCACCGCAGCCTCAGCAGGGTCATCCCCACTTTGTCCCACAATGTTTTCCAGGCTGAGGGATTTCCCCTCCCCCAGGACCTCACAGAAATGCTCAGAAAATCTGCAAACCTGTTCCTGGGGGTCGGAGATTGGACCACCGTTCTTTCCCCTAATGATAGTAATAGGTGTGGCGCTGCAGGTAACTTTTTTGATGGAGGTAAATAGTGATTTGTGATCGCAGGCCATTGAGGTAGACTCCATCTCCTCAGAAACCCGCGACCACCGCCCATCATTGCAGCGCCTCACGGCTCTCTGAACCTCCGAGCGAAGGCTGCGGTAAGCCTCCTCATTCTCTGACGTGAGATGCTGTAGACGATGAGAGTGGGCCTGTCACTTTTTTTCAGCCAGCATTAACACTTCCTCTGTCAGCACGGATCTCTGGGGCGGTCTGGACCGTGTACCCAAAGCAGCCATTGCAGCTGCATGAGCCACAGTCCTAAACCTCGCCCATTTCCCCTCGACATCTGGAGGAGTGGGGGACGATGCCAACCCCAGCCGCAAACGATGGTGAAATTCTCACTTGCAACTTTCATCAGCTAGCTTAGACCATGCCACTTTGGGTTTGAATGGGGTCCTGGGTGTAAACCCACCACCGGAGTGGAAGAATGGCAGGCGCATCTTACAGATGACAAGTTGATGGTCAGTGGGCATATCAGCTCCACGGTAGGTCATGGTGTCAAGGACATGGGCCCTCATCTGCTGTTCCGTCACTATGTAGTCCATCCGATGTTGTTGCTTGGACCCGGCATGCATCCATGATGTTGTGTGGATGCACCGATGCCAGGAAAGCGTGTTGGTAATTACAAGGCCATGGGCTGCCCAAAAATCTAGCAGCCTCCTACCGTTGTTATTGAGCTGATCTGGCCCATGCCTGCCAATCACTCCAGACCAGGTGCCAGCATCATGACCAACTCGGGCATTGAAGTCACCCACCAAGATGACTCTATCCCGAGGGGCCACTTTAGCTAGCACCTGTGACAGAAGGTGTTTGACTCATCGGCCTTGCCTGCAATCCCTCCATGACCACCACTCCTCGCCTCTGGTTGATAGGAAGGCGAACCCAAAGTAGCCTGGGGCTTACATTTTCCCACACCTCACCGCCACACTCCCACGCCCCCTTCATTATTTTGTTCAGAAGAAGAGCCACTCCCTGTTGTTTGGCAGTCTCCAGCCCCGAGTAGAGGACTGTCCACCCCTCATGGTGGTAGGAGCCAGAGCCGGTCCGCCGGACCTCCTGAATACCACAGAGATCCAGGCGGTACCGGTCCAGCTCCTGACAGAGGAGTGGCAGCCTCTCCTCCGCAGTGAGCGCTGAACATTCTCCGTGGCCACCCGAAGTGTTTTTTGGTTTTTTATGGAGGAGCCCTGAGGGTAAGGATTCAGTCTCCCCCCGGGGTGTCCGGCACAAGCTTATAAATTAGATATTTTAGACGTGGTTTTGTGGTAATTAATTGAAGGTGGAGGGGTTACCAGCCCTTCGCACCCATCCAGAGCCCCCATTTGGCCGCTGTGGTGGTTACAAACGCCTTGAGGGGAATGGCCAATCTACATTGGCCCTCCTCCCCACGGCACTGCTCACCACAGCGTTGACATCCGGCACCAACAAGGAGGTAGGGGGTTGTTTTTGGCGGACAGCGCACGCACGCATGCACACACCACATACGCGCGCGCATGGGCGTCTCGCTCCTCTCACACCTTGTCAGTCCCTTAGCCGCTCGTCGCTGATTGATTTTGCAGCTTTCTGTTAAACCTGCACGGAATAATAACATAAGAGGCGGGGGGGGGGAGGGGGTGAGCATCGCTAATTCTCACGAAAGGCACCAAATATTGCATAAGGCAGCGACATGTTAAGTTGTACACCGCCGCAGCGGATGCAATGCCTAGAACGCAGACTTGATTTAAAAGGTAATGAAAGGTAAAAGTGCTGCTCTGCAATGCTCTGCAATGCTTGCCTA